AAAAAGGAAAGGATATTGATTCTGAGTAGGATGCACGATGTCTCCTAAAAAGTTGCACTCCATTCTTGTTACACTGCTAGCATGTTATTTATTAAATCAACATGTTTTCAGCTTTAGGAAACCCCACAGAATGTTCTTTGCAAATAAATCGAATAAATCCTAGGCCAGCAGCTCAAGCGGACACTAATACAGTATTAACATAAAACTATCTTAAAATGGGACATTTTGACATAGTGTAATGGTTAGCAAGCTTGTCTCGCTAGAACAATTACGACTGAATAGTGAGTTCCTCACTCGGTACCCACATGCTTTGGGCCTTGTGCCACATCTAAGCTACGCCAAGAAAATCCTTAGCGTCTCCAGACGGTATAATGGTTAGAAAGTTTTCTCGCTATAACAATTACAACTAAATAGTGTTCGATCCTCACTGGGTGCCCGCTACGTTTGGCCTTGTGCCACATGTAAGCTACGCTTGAAAAATCACTATAGGGTACCTCGTCGTTGTGTAATTGTTAGCAAGCTTGTCTCGCTAAAATTGTTACGATTGATTAGTGAGTTCGATCCTCACTGGGTACCCCATACTTTCGACCTTGTGTCATATCTAAGATACGCTTAGAAAATCGCCATATCTGTATTGGAATAAATATGTTATGAGCATATCTAAAAAAATCTCTGATGGTCTGGAACAATTCTTCGTAGCGATTCTGGAATCAGCGTACACGATTTAGTCTCTTAAGCCCAGGAAGCATAAAACATGCTTTTTTTTTTATTAATATAAGACACATTTTACCCAGTCATGCACATGCGCATTACACAGTATTCTGTCACGCTAGAACAATTCTGAGTTTGGATTTCGAACGAGCATATTCGACGGCCAATTTGTAAGGAGAGTAATGAAAGAAGTCGAACAATGATGAAACCATAAAAATGTATAGATTGAGATCGACGACCCTAATAGAAGACCTTACCGAAAGAATAATAAAAGCAATTGGAAATAAATTTCTGAAATTACAGTAGATTGAACAAAACAGTTCATGTATTTAGAGGGGACGCCGAAAAGAAAAGAAAATCTCATTGACATTTGCGATGAAATTTAACGATAAGATCAAAAATAAATTACTATGCTTATAACTGTTCTGTTCTGTCAGTAACGCTTGCCTCGTCTTCTGACAAGGACAATCCCTTATTTTCCATTTCACTTCTATAGTAGTGTCATTAGTATTTCATTGACATTACACAGATAAATACCCTATTCTCTCTGTAATATATATATATATATATATATATATATATATATATTAATACAAGAAAACTATCACTTTAATTTATGATTTTCAATGCAAAACGTACAGATTGAATGGAGAAAAAAGTTATTGTAGTTCAAAGAAATACAGCAAATTTTTAAGTATCATCACCTCACTTATCCCCACTGCCATGAATGTTATTAAGCGTAAAAAATCATCCAAAACGTAGGAGTAAAGTAGCAGTAAAGACAGATGGTAATGTAACAAATACAAATACAATCAGCGTTACAAATACAATTAGAAATTGCTGTGTATGCTTTTGAGAGCATGTACATTTTAGTTAATATTAGGTTGGTGCAAAATAATGACGTCATAATGTCGTTTTTTGACGTTAAAAAATACGTCAAAAAACGACATTATGACGTCATTATTTTTGCACCAACCTAATAGTTTAGTACGTCTTACCTGTGGTATCAATGATTCAAGACAGCTGATTAATAATAGCGGCGCGAGGCCAACTGATAAAAACTATGAAATTTAAAAATGAATATGGTAGTAGTATTCATAATGGGTGAAGCACAAAGGTTATCATGACTGACGTGAAATTATGCTTCGTTAACGTGACGCTTCTACCAATGGAAAGGTATGAATCTATCTTCCCTCAGTTATGGGCAAATAAATGGCAAATGGCCGGAGAGTGGTAACCCGTCTAGGAAAAGGAAAGCAACAACTTCGAACTCGGGATTGTGGTCGAATATAGACACTGGATGGGCTAATAGTGATAGGGCTATTGGCTTTGAAAATGGAACTGGAGAGCCGAGTTTAAATTCATATCTCGTCTCTTGTTTTCACTTTCACTTTCCCTTTCACTTTCGCGCTGTTTCCCTCCTAAAGGCACGAATCTCGCCAGAGCTATGGATTAAATAGTAGATCTCACTGGGATCTCTTGTCTTGATGACAGTTAATTTAAAATTCTTAATTGCAAACTAGCCTGAAGTAAAATGAACTCTCTTGCCCTAGAGACATACATTGCTGCCAGAACTTGTAGTAGCCCTTGTTTTGAAAACAGCTGCGGTGCTATTTAAGTAGACTGGTCCACTCATAAAAAAATAGGGAATTTGTTTTTAAGTAACGAGATTGTATTCATCAACGGCTTGCTAGGCCTGTCGTGACATCACCAATGTCCTCTTAGTAGTCATGTATGTTTTCCCTGAAATGATGGATACAGGACATAACCGAGGCGGTAGACTAATGGCAGATATCGAAGGGGCCAAGCTATTTCAAGGCAGAAGATCAGGGAGGTATTTCTGAGCTGATAGACCGCAAGACCGAACTGGAGTTGAGTTAGAAATAATGGGAGAATAATAATAGTAAGGAAATGAAAAGGTTACTAACAATTATTATTGAATAACTTGCAATGGTCTCACAGACGATAGGAACTGGAAAACCCAAGTAGAATTGAACAATTATGTTCTATAACAGACCAAATTGTAAAAGGTGTATCAGAATATTGCTTGTCCTGAACTGGTTCCACGGCACAGCCAATAAATCAAAGATTTGAAATTTCCTTGAATACGGATGATTCTACGAGGCACTAGTTGTGCTGAAAATGGTCCTATATACGCTAACATCAAAAGACAGTAATTGTGACAATAGGAAAAACGGATGAACGCTCTATGAGAAAAGTCGAAAGCAAAATTTGAAGAATAAGACAAACAAAAATTCATCACAAGCTATGCCGTCGGTCGGGATTACCCATTAAGGGATTTCAATTATGCATACATTAGTAATCACAATGCGCTTCGCTGTGCGAGCCCGCAGTTTCAAATCGACTCGGAATAATTACATTTCGTCTATTGTCTTTCATGTAGGATCATTTCCACTATTCATTGTTGTTCGATCTGACATTCTGACTTGTTAGATTCCGCCATTGTCCACATCATACTGCCGATGTCTTCACATAAACTGTGCCAATGGTCACCTGAAGACGCAATGCCTTGCCAAATAAAAGACGCCGAAATTTAAGAAAAGACCTGAAACTGACCTAGAATTGTAAAATAAATGACCTGAAAAGAGTTGCATCAAAATTGCTTGAGTGAGGAAACGAAGAAATAATAAATAGATCATCTTTTGACCCGGGGAAGCTTTTGAGTCCTGTGACGTCACTGAATTCCAGCTACTGTATAGATGGTATCAACGGAAGTCAGTTTTTAGTTTTTCTTACTCATTTTTTTTTCTTGTAAGAGGACAGAGACAGACGTGGAAATATGGATTCGAGGAGGCAGCAGAAGGAGAACCCCTAGGGAACGCACGCCGCACGTTCTTTTAGCGCCTCGTCCGCCTGTAATCTTAACCTGACCCTAGTATCTGGGTGTAGGGAAGCGTATTGACGCTTCAAAATTCCTGCCGCCCTCTGTTGACTTCGAGCCGTTTCGGACTTAGATTCAGAATTTAACCAAAGACAATATATCACTCTCAGAATACCACGCCTACGACGCATTCTGACCAATCGTTGTCTATCTTGACACATCCTTCACATTATATAAAAGATGGTCCTTTGAAAGAAAATTACGATGATAATTAATTGATTGTCATTTAATACGTCCCCATACAGAATACGGTGTGTGTATTACATGCACAAAAGGTATTATATATTTTAAAATTGATCTTTTAAACAAATAAAAATACAATTAAAGATAATATTCTACAATATTTTATCTCTCTTAATATACCTATTTTTTCTCAATTCTGCGGAATATTAATTAAAAATCTATCATTAAAATATAAAGATTCAATCTCCTTAAAATCTTTTGTTCACTAGAGCGCAAACGAAGTCACTATAATATTTTCATTCAAATGTAAATCACCCGGACTTTCTTGCATTTAATGCATCTGCAATGCATTATTTTCGGATACTGCCTTGTCAGTGGAACCTAAATTACGATAACTGCGCGTTCTGCAGATGGTTAATAATTCCTCTTTAAAATCAGAGTAGTTACTTGCAGGTAGATACATGCTGAATCAACCATAAACACGATCAACATTTACCTGTCGATCAATTTTTGTCGAGAGCCTGAACGAGAGACACCACCACTGTTTAACTGTAGAATTAAAAAGGAATTTGACTAATTTTCGCCTATAAATTCAAATATAAATCGAGCCAATGTTTACCTATAGAGTCAAGTTAAAATCGACTAATTTTCACCTATAAATTCAAGTATAAAACGGACCAATATTATCTAGACACTCAAGGATAAATCCGACTAATTTTCACTTACAAATACAAGTATAAAACGGGACAATTTTATTTATAGACCCAAGTACAAAGCAGACTAATGTTAAACTATATAAGCATAAACCTGGTCAATATTTACCCATAGTCTCAAGTATAATAATAAAAAAAGACATGTTTCAATATTTAATATTCCTACAAGAGCTGATATATCGAAACCTCTATCAACTCAACGCATTTCTTGTACTTGGAAATTACATGCAAAAGAAAAAATCTAACTTACAATATTATATAGATGTCAGCGAAGAAATAACTACATTAAATAGAAAATGGACGAGACGCCACAAAATATCAATTGTCGCCTATGCAGAGATAATACTCAGTGTTTCAATAAATGACTATACTAAGGCGTTTCTGATGAAGTAAAAAAAATGTTCGGGTCAGAAATGGACGGTGATTCACTGAAAATTGTGCAGACGATGTGAATTCAATCATACAGTCCAATAAGACTCTTCAAATACCAGATGTATCGTTCTATGCAGACGCAGAGATCAAATGTAGACAAAAACAAAGAGAAATCTACTCGTGGGTATAGTAATTCCAAGCAGACCATAAAGGGAAAGGGAAAGTGAAAGTGAAAGTGAAAGCGGAAGGGAAAGTGTAGGTGAAAGGCTGAGTAAATATCAAGGCTTTTCTTGATAGTATCATTATATATTATTTGCAATTCTTGCTCATCTTGTTAGACTCACAGAATTTCAGATATTGTAAGGCTCAAATTCTGGTGACTTCCCACTTGGGAAGCTTCTTGTAATTTCGAATCCAACCCGCTAGCATCTAGGTAATGTGTTCAAAAGAAATATGGCCTAGTGTATAAAAAACATTCTTTAAAACTAATTCGGTTCCCTGGGAATTATAACTTTAATTTCTGTGTATTGTAATGCTGAAAAAACACATAATCCAGTTTAGTGTAAGTAATGAATAAGTGGCACAAAATTAAATAGGCTTAGGGAGTACAAACTGATACAATATGTAAAATGGAATGAGAAAAACAAAAAGAAGAAAATATTACCCTGAATGGAATAAACGGTTTTGGTTTGAAGACATAAATCTGATGATGGCATGAGAAAGGCCGAAACGTCGTGAATCAATATGAGCATGCTGCTTCAAACGGCAAAGCATGTTTGAAAAATATCCGTGTCTTGTGAGAGAAGTAAACCAAAATTAGGAATATGAAAACGAAGATATTTCATAATGGGAATCTCTGGGACAATTATGAAGAACGTGAAGGCATCCAGAAGTCATGATTCTTTGAATACGGGAATATTTAGAAGTCTTGCTGCTTTACGTCTGGAGGTGACGTGAAAACACATACACAATATCTATCTATCTATCTATCTATCTATCTATCTATCTATCTATCTATCTATCTATCTATCTATCACAGTGCGTTAACTCTCTCTTTCTCTCTCTCTCTCTCTCTCTCTATATATATATATATATATATATATATATAGTAAAAGGTTTGTCACGTCACTAAGCTGATTATCTTCAGCATCTCGACTCCAGAGTTTCGTAGACAGAACATCCGGGAAATGCTTTATCTACTCGTGCGTGACTGTGTGTGCGTGTGTGCGTTCGTTCGTGTGGGGTCTGCGTATATGTGTAGAATATGGTGGTTATTTGTTCTTTTCTTCGATTTTTTTTCACTTTACACTCACTCCTTAACGTTTTGTATCTTTCTGCCCTATTATTACAGTTGTAGACATTGTGGTTTCCATTTTTCTAGAAATATACTGTCGTTGTAAATTCATGAGCATTCGAGTGATTTCATGCATTAGGAAAATGTTTTGAGACAAAAATTGTATTTCATATATACCAGGTGTTACAGCAAATATGTCCAATTGTTAGATTAATATTTGAACGGTTGTATCTTTGAAATGATTAAAGATATCTTACTGGAATTCTCCGAGATTTTTATAAAATTATTTGCTTCTACTTTGAGCAATAAGAATGTATAATTAATCTCCACGCTTAACAACCTCTTTCTGCCCTGGATTAACAAGGTACCTCACACGTTTCATATACGATTCTATTTTCAAGTTGTTTTTCATTGCTCTTTGGACAGTCATAGCTGAAATCCCTCTATCACATACCAAACGTTTTATGAATTGAGTTAGATCTTTTCTAAATAATCTCTGAGTTGAAATGATGATCAGTCTCCCTGTTGTGAGCTCCAGTTTTCCTCTCTACTCTCATCTTGTTTAAACTTATTCACCATTCTCTTAATGGTTCTTGAACTGATTTTGAAGCCAGAGTATGAACGTTGGAACCATTACTGAAGACCTGAATTATTTTTTTTCTCGCCATTGCTCAGTTGAGAAGCGAGTCGATTTTAATCTGTTCTCCTTTTAGCTGAATAACTCGTCCATTACGACAAATAGTATCAAAATGGCTAAACGTCTTATCTGAAAAAACTGGAAAAAAAGAAACTCAATTAGTTTAGTGTTTTATTTTTTAGATATTAAACATTTTGTGGGACTGAAAATTATGCTGTTACACGATTCAGACAATTTTGTCTTTACATCTGCTATATACTGAGTCTACATTTTCCGTTATAGGAAAACATTCGGTATTCATTGATAGAGCAGTTATCATTACCATCGATTGAAAATATAAAATCTTCCTCTTAAAATTTATTTTTTGAGAGAAATGGCTTATTCAAGTCCACTACTCGCTCGCGTTCTTTTTCGTTCTGATGAGAATTCTCTTGCTAAACTTTTGTTTGAGATCGTGTATAAAGCAACCATGTTTATTACAAGATTTGTTTCTCTTTCAGATACATGAATTATCCATTGTAGTTCTTGCTGCTGTTGAAAGATTCCAAGTATTGTAGTTTCTGTTATTTTGTATAGTACGTTACATATTTTTGATTCTGTAGCGCCAGTCTACGAGATCCGACGAAAGACATTCTTCTTTAAGACCTACAAGGATTTTGCGCTGGCACTAATTTTTAATCATTTATCTGAGAATGATGATAGTTGATAGTTCAGGCATTTTTGAACGATTAGGACACCATGATTAATATCCTTATGAAAGTTTATATATCCCTATTCATTGACTGAGCAGTTATCATTACCGTCTGTTGAAAATTATGAGATATTCCTCTTAAAAGTGATCATCGAGGGAAATGGGTTTTTCAAGCCCGATACCTTTTAGCGTTTTTTGAGAGTTTCTTTGATAACCTTTTGTTTAAGATCGTTTAGAAAGCAAACATATTTAGTATGTGATTACTTTTTTTTATTTCAAATACATGTTACTATTGAAAAAATCCAGGTGTTGTAGTTTCAGTTATTTGGTATAGTACGTTATATATTTGCTATTCTGTAACGCCAACCTACGAGATACGACTTCTTTAAGACCTCTAGGGATTCTGTGCTGAAAGTTATTTGTAATAATTTATCTGAGAAAGCGGTTGCTGATAGCTGATAGTTCAAGAATTTCTGAAAGATTAGAATGCCTTGCATAATATCCCTATGAATGTTCATATAACGAATGTTATTTAAGATCATGACGTGAGTTATTAGTTTAATGTTTTGTAGAATCCACTGAATATAAAACCCTGCATGTCAGAGTGGGCCATTATCTGCACTGGAAAATTTGCAACTTCTACGGGAAGGAAACTGAAAGAAACCGCTATGGACACCACCCAGACCCGGTTACGGAGATAGGAACTATTACAATTCTATGGGACTACACATTACACACTAACAGAACACTCAAAGCCAACCACACAGACATTTTTATTAAAGACTGCATACAAAAAAGTGCCGCCTTATTGATATGGCAGTCCCTGCTGACTGTAATGTATCTTTGAAGATATTCAAAAAGTTGTCAAAATACAAGGACCTTGAAATCGAAATCTCAAAAATGTGGCAGATGGGAAGATCAACAATCCCTGTTGTAGTTGGCGCCCTAGGATTGGTTGGAAGATTCCAATAAACTAATTGAAGGGATTCCTGGAAGTCCATGCCTCATGGAGATACAAAAATTGTTCTGACCAGTACAACCCACACTTTACGAAGGGCTTTATATATGTTTTTTTTTTTTGTCAGTGGAAAGTGTCATGATGCTATTTCTAACCTTAGGTCCCTGGGCGGGACCCGGAAAGAAATGTGTTAACGCCAGAAATCAAAGGAAATAATAATAATGATAATAATAATAATAATGATAATAATAATAATAACAATACTTATTTCTGCTTGCGCAGAAGAAATTCAAGCGCCGCCTTGATAATGCAGTGTCTCCTCTGCATTGGTACTTATATAGGAAATATGAAGTCAACGACAAATAATATCGCCGAAAACCAGAGATTACCGAAAACGACCAAGACAAGATTTTGTGGGATTTAAAAATACAAACAGCTCGCATTCTTGTGGCCATCAAAACAGACATCCCCGTCGCAGAAACAAAAGAAAGAAAATGCCTCCTCATCGCTGCAATTCTTCCTGGTGACAATAATCTCAACTTTAAAGAATTTGCCAAGTTTGATAAATACACCGATCTACAGGATGGGGTTGCCAGAATGTGCAACGTTCATTTCGCTATTTTAAAAATAGAGGCGTTGGGGTTTTTACAACCGAAATTAAAGTCCTACATTGAGGAAATTGGCATGAATTATAGTATCCTATTGTTTCAGAAGTCAGCATTGCCTGGCTCTGCAAATATTCTTGGAAAGTTGCTATATGACTGAGATCATACGAATAGACGGGGAACATGCATAATCCAAGAGCCACGGTTGAAAACGTAAAAAAAAAAAAATACGGGAAAAGAGAAGATAATAATAATAATAATAATAATAATAATAATAATAATAATAATGTATAGATAGATACATTGATAAGAGAATTTTTTATTGTGCCAGAAGAAATCGAATAGGTCATGCGAAATAGAATTGTAAGAGTAAAGAACGACATGGAAAAGGTTAATGCCCAACGAAAAATAAGAAACAAAACAGGAATAATAATAATAATAATGATGATAATAATAATAATAATAATAATAATGAGAAGAAGAAGAAGAAGAAGATGAAGAAGAAGAAGAAGAAGAAGAAGAAGAAGAAGAAATAAGATGTTGAAGACGAAATTGCAAAGATTGAAACGGAGGGCGAGAAGAAGGATAAAGGGAGGAAAATATATGAAGAATCTAACGAAAAATAAGAAGCAAAAGAGCAATAATAATATTAATAATAATAATAATAATAATAATAATAATAATGATACGAAGTAATAGGAAGTAACAGATGATGATGAAGAAGCAGAAAATAAGAAGGTGACGACGAAATCGAACAGAAGATTGAAGGGAAGGACGAGAAGATGAATGAGAGGAAGAACATATTAAGAAATTAAAGAAGAAACATGAAAACATTTGTGACAAAGGTGATACGAGAGAAAAAGGGATTTGGTATTTACACTGGCAATATGCTTTAAACTGTACGGGCATTAAAGATTATCGGTATGGACATTTAAAACCCAAAAGAGATTTCTCTAAAAAATAAGTAATAATAAAAAAAAAAAGAAAATGAACAAAAGGAAAACGACATCTCTAACTATTCTCTTCAAACAAGGTAGACACGCGAGCCGAGATAAGAAAAGGTTATCAGTGATAAACCTGGAAACAGATACAAATAATAATAATAATAATAATAATAATAATAATATTAATAATAATAATAATAAAAAGATAAGGATAGATTAAAAAAAAAGCTACATATACAGAAACAACTAAATACTTATGTGAGCATATGTCAGCTTTTCTTTAAAAATGGATTCATGCGTGTATGAATTTCTTTTCTTCCTCGTAGACAAGTGAATCACACTAGAATCGCCTACCTGTTCCATGCGCACACGAAAGAAAACGTATACACACACATGTAGAAGTCAGCAGGCAATGAAACACACACACACACCTACTAAAACACACATAAATATATATTCTCCTTGTAATGAAACATACCACGCAAATGTTATTGTCGGTATACATACATACATACATACATACACACACACACACACACACACACATATATATATATATATATATATATATATATATACACATATGTGTGTGTGTATTTATGTATGTATGTGTGAGAAATATAGACGTTCGTTTAAGTTGCGTGTAGCAATAAAATAGATGAATTGTATACAGAAAGCTGTACACGTGGGCACATACGCACGTAACAAGGCAGACACAAAGCTGCAAACACCAGTGTATACTGATAAACATCTGAAATCAAATGCGATTCCTTTCCGACCATGAGACGCGGGTTCGAATTCCAACATTGTCGATTTATCAGGAAGGTGATTTACGCGATGCTATCGGTCAAGAGAGGCGATCCTATCGGGCGGCACTTTTGCAAAGCCCTACTACGGGTTGACACAAGCCATG